GTTTTCTTTTAGCAACATTCATATAAGAAAAATTCTTCATTGCGCAAAAATGATCATTTATCAATCTTAAATATTGTACAATTGATGTGATGGTGATAAATAACTTGTAGAATACGTATTGCAATTATTAATGATTTAATCGAAAGAACTGATAATAAAAATGCAGCGGAAACTGTTACAGCTTTGTTACACAGATCATAATAGCTGCTACTGCTTTTTAATCGATATGTATATACTTTGATATAATTTTGCTACTACTCACCAAAGCGAAAGAAGTATAAACTTCTAATTGTGAATATTGAATTTAGTTTTTCAGTGAAAATTTAAACTCAAGTACGTAATTTTTTTTTAAGGGTATACTAGGGAGGTTTTGAGCATTTACTATCTGAAAATTCCTCTGGGAAGCTCTAAAATCTCGACGAACGTTGATAATTTAAATAATAATAGAGCACATTATTCTTTTTAAAAAAAATTATTAAATTTATTATGGGTTTAATAGCCTTTATATACATGTGAAATATATAAGGTTCCACCACATGATTAAATTAGAGTTGTTTTTTTTTTTTGTTTGATGTTTGGCAAAGCGTGAAAAAAAAATTCTTTATGTTTACTATGTATTTTTTTTTTTTTTTCTTTAAATAAAATGGAGGTGAAATTTAATATGATTAGCAAATATATGAATCACTAATTAACTTGATGATGCATAGCTTCCTCTCCCGCTTTCTATGTCAATGTATGTAGGTATTCTTCTGCTTGCATATATTCCTGACACCGGTACCTTTCTTTCACCATTCATATCACCGTAATCATCATCATATTCTTCGTCGCTATTATACGAATCTTCATTCGTTTCGTGTCTTGGGTTAAAATCCCTCATTCTATTACTTCTGCTAAATCTTGTGCTCATAGATCGGTTCACCCACCCTTTCATTATTAAATCAAATTTTGATTTTTTAGCTTCTAATTTTTCGTCTACACCTGCTGTATCACTACTAGATTCGATTATATCATCAGGATAGACGAAGAGTGTATGTATTTCTTTGATAGCACGGTATCCTTTACAATTAGCGACGTGCTCATCTTCAACACGGATGATACACCATAAAAAACGTCTGAAAAAAATTAAGACGAATGAGTTTTGAAAGTGATGAAAAAATCTACAATTATTAGCTAATTACCTCAGAGCTTCTAAGCAAGCTACTATAATTCCCATTAAATAAATGTCAGTGTAAAATAAATACAGAAGCCAAGAAAACCTTAGGATCAAATTGTTAACGATGGCAATCTTATATACATATTGGTTTTTAAATCCTAGTTCATCTCTTAACAAATAATTAGAAGAATGAATCTGCAATAAAGACCAATCCATTTTTACATCCCAAACAAATGTATATATAGAAGAAATCATTTGAGCTATGATCCAACAAGAATTTATGACAAAATCGTCAACTAAAATTTTGCAAAAATTTTGTCATGTTAAATTATAATCATTATAACAATTCAACAATATTAATAAAATACCAACCATTCTTTAGTCGCAACCAGAAAAAAACTACGGCGACGATGACTGACATATATTTAAACATATTGATTAAATGTATCACTTCTTTAGTATCAACAAGACGCTTTAAACA